TGAAGTCCAAACCGGTCAAATACAGCGTGACCCACTTACAGATTAATATTTAAAATAATAATTAATTGTAATTTGCCGTTGCAATTCCTTCCTAGCCATATAATTACCCCCACTTGGTATTTACCTATTTAGTAATCCTCTCCCTGCCTGTAGGTTTTGATTAGGTGCTAATAGATATCAATCTCTCCATTAACTTAACTAAAACAAAGATTTGTGACATAACCATCCATCCACTGATCCAAAAAGCAATCTTTGTAGGCCACCAGAACTACTTTAATTAGTCCAGTGGTATATCCTCCAAACAACCAGCCCAGAGCAAAACAACACACACAAAGAAACAGAGGAAGATCTTTCTTAGGAAACAAATGGAAACTATAACATGCACCTATAAATAACATACTTCATAAGCTCTCTCCAACCAAACTCAGCTCATAACAAACCAACTGAAAACCCTACCTTTACTTCCAATCTTTTTCTTTCAGACAATCTTTCTAACAACATCCCAAAAAAAAGCCATATACGATGAGTGTGGAAGTTCTAGACGGCAACACCATCGTCAAATTTGTTGGCGACGAGGAGGCCTTCACTGTCTCGGTTCACGAGCTATTCGTGAACCTCGACAGTGATCACGATGGACAGCTTTCGTATTCGGAGATGCTTAAGGAGTTGCAGAGTTTGAGGGTCTTCGAGACTCATTTTCGCATCGACGAGAGTATGAGCCCCAGCGAGCTAGCTAGTGTGTACGAGTCTTTGTTCACGAAGTTCGACCATGACTCGAATGGGACGGTGGATCTCGAGGAGTTCAAGGCCGAGACGAGGCAGATGATGTTGGCAATGGCGAGCGGGATGGGGTTCTTGCCGGTTCAGATGGTGCTGGAAGAGGACAGCCTCTTGAAGAAAGCCGTGGAGTGGGAGACTGCTATGATTGCTGCTTAATTAAGATCAATGGATCACTTGCAAAACCAATCTTCAAGTTTAAGCCCCGTAGCTTGCGTTTGTTAATTTATGCAGCAGTTTTCGTTTCTTTGGTTTTGGTATTATGGAGGATTTGGGTTAATAAGACACAACGCTATATGTGAATTTTGTTTGCTACGTAAGGTATGGTTTGGCCAGAGTTTCGTCAAATTAGTATGCGACTGGATAGAAAATATAGGGAAAACAATATATTTCTAATGCGATGCACTTGTCTCTTTATTCTTAACTAGTAAGGAAACCCGCGCTCCGCAGCGGGAGTGACATTGCGGTGTTACTTTAGAGTCCTTCAGTGCAACCTTGAAAATCCTTCAAGAAAAAAAGAAATTGTAGCACTAAATGTCGCACAAAGCAGGTAAGACAGCTTTTAAAAGCTAAAAATTCTTAGTCTAGAGTAGGATGCATGACTTTTTTTTCGGGATCTTGAATGCATAATATGCAAGCATGTCACAGATGAAATAAGCCAAAGCAAAGATGTTGTGAAAGAATAACATAAACGAAAAGGCAGCAATCGACACCCACAATCTATCAAGGAAGATAAAAATGTCTACATTAAACATAGAAGCCGTGTATTCGTTACTCCCACATCTTACAATTAATGCATAAATCAACATGTTAGACTGCAATTGTGAGTTTCTGCTCTTCATCCCTTTTGGCAACATCTGAAAATTGGTCCAAACTTCGTGGATCACCAAGGAACACACCATCATCATATAACATACTTCAGTTGGCCTCTCTTGTATCTGATATGGAAAAAGTGCAGCAGGAATAAGGGAGTCATAAACATGCATTGCGAGAACTATCTATCTTATAACTCTGAATCATAAGAGACCCAAGAATGAAGCCTATAAAATTTCTCTTATAGTATGTGCAAAAATATTAAAATTGCAATAACAAACAATGAAAGTTCCTATACCTCTTTAGTTTCTCCATAAAGCTCCACAGGGTACTGCTCATTCTCTCTAAGCCTTCGAAATATCACCTCAACTCCAGCGTGATTTAGGAGAAATGCTCTTAATGAGGGACTTCCTGGCTCTGCCACTATTCATGGCATTGCATTTCCTCGTTCTAACCTGACAATTCACATCTGAATCAGTAAAGTAGGCATATATAGGTAACATCATCTCCCTCTCATAATGATGTCTGCAGACTTAGATTTGCAGAGTTGCATAATAATTTTCAAAATAATGCTCTTTTCGAACAGACAGTTATCAAGGAGAAAGTACACATCCATTACGTAAGACAACAGCAGAACAAACTTAATCCAACTTCACACAGGCACTGAACGATTGAGTAACAAACAAAACTATTATAAAGATAATCTAAGAGTATATGCAGAGTATACATAGAAGATTTGGGGCGACTGCAAAGGCTAGAAGGGTGTCATATTTTCAAGAATGATTCCCTATACTGAACGATTCCATGTGTGGTATAAGAACACAAACCTTGGTTCCAAATGGTAGCTTGGACTCTAATCAAAGTGGACCTACCTCTTGTCTAAGCTGTTCTCCTTTAGTCTTCTTGAATCTTTCTTTTTCTCCGAACAAAGGCTAAAACCAAACAAAGAAACAAACAAACTGTACAATGTAAACTGGCAACATTATGAAGGACATGGAGAAGATGGAATGGAATACAACCAGAAAGGTTATTAGAGAAGAGGGTCAAATACCCAGTAATAGATTGGGGTGAAGGCAAAACCCATCATACATCTTCCCTATCTTGTTCTCTTCCAGAGTCGTCTTCATTGAAAACATAAATACCCAACGTTTAACAATCAGAGGCACAAATTCCAATCTTAAAACTGAAAGAACAACTTGCGATACAAAATAGGATAAAAAAGATAGACGCACCTACAATAATATAATCTTCAAAAGCAACCATATCAAACCCACAGGGATTCCCATAATTTTCGTAGAAACATTTAACACCTCAACTCTTATTCGCCTGTCACCATCTTGATAATAGTCTTCCCACTTGTCATCATCCTGTGAAACCAAACACAGTATGAATCACGAGATGAGTAGGAAATTATATGACTTAGATGCAAAAGCGTAAATAAAGGAAAATTATATTACAATGGCCAAGCCAAATGAATATAAACTGCACAAAGCTATTGAGTTTAAGGAACACAATACAGAAAAACAGAATAGGCTCATCACAATAACCTCATGATTCTAAATAGTTAAAGCACTCATTAAAGGTAAATGAGACTATAAAAGGTCAAAAGCATTCAATGTAACGATAGAAAATGTATGATTGCAATAAGGAATAAACTTGCAGGAAACTTAAAAATTTGAGGGCTTCAGAATTGCAAAGAAGAACAAACTAAAGGCAACCAAAACTATATGGATGCATGTTGGCTGATTTAAAGTAGCGCACAACATTAATCTCTATGTATAATCCAATCAATTGGAAACAGTTAAAGCAAACAATGCTCCAAGTCCAATCATTAATTTGTATATTGTGGCTTCCTCACTGAAAACAACCAAACAAAAAGAGACTAAAGAAGTGAGGGGCTCCTCACCTGCAGCGGCTTAAGGCGATGTCGTGTTCTTCTTCTTCTTTAAGGTTCTAAAGAGAGAGTAGAGTTGGATCCATGAACTTCCTCAAATATCGGTCACGGTCACGGTCTGTTGCTAATATTGCCTCTCGAGGCAACATAATCAAAATCATAGCTCTGCAGGAGAAGTTTTCCTCTCAGTTCCAGCTGCAGTTCAGCAAAAGAAAGGATCATGAATAGATTCCCAGAACAGCTTAGCAGACCCCAAAAAAAGGTGTAACCATGGGATATTTCAAGTAAACTGTACAATGCTTCAACAAATCTGACGCCACAAAATAGTTGGGTTAAGCATTTGCAATATAGTTATATTGGGTTGGTTTCCTAACGGCACAACATTCACCATTATCCACCAAACAATGTTCACCAAGCTTACGTCAAATAGCAAAAAGGGGATTTAGTCAACAAAGTAGGTTGCATTGACATTCAAGTAGTTCCAAGTAAAAGAAAATGCTAAAGCTTTAATATAACAAAAAGAAATCCACAAAACTAATTGAACACTTCACAGTTCCCCAATGTTAAGTACTTAGCTGTTACTCAATCTGGAAAGAAATCTAATATGACTGTTCTAATTGAACTCATAAAAGCACACGAACCCGCCTTTTACATCAGTCTCCATTCAGAAATCACTGATAAAACACACCTAAATAAAAATTAGTGCACGGGGCAGCAACTAAAAATTCCTTATTTTTTAGAAAGCATTACAAAATTGAATTCATATCAATAACATCAGATGGTGAAGCTAACCTAACTGACCATTTAAAAGGCAGGAATAGTTAAGATGATCGAGAACATAAACATGTTATTATATACAAACCTAAATTCGTGGAAGGGGGCAATACCCGTCAAAGGAAACCCCAAGAAAGACTAAATGAATCACAAAAGAAAGGCAAAATATGGGAAACATAAAGAGAGGAAAAAGTATGGCTAAAACACACCAGATTCATGGAAAGAAGAAAAAGTTCTCAGCATACTCGAACGACGATCAAAGCAACTGTGAACATAAGACAAAGGAGAGAGAACATAAATGCATAGGTGGGATCATACCAGTAAGGACACTGAATAAGAGTCTCGCCGAGGAAGTGAACTGTTAAAAATTGAACCTTCTCATGACGTTATAGAGATCTTCTCCGTCGTTAGCGCCACCAAGTGAGCAAGGTCGTATAGTAAAACAATCTGACCCACCTACAACCGGAAAGGCACAACAAATGTATTTTAGCTCTAAAAATGGCTCAGATAATTGAGCATGCAGCAGGAGGGCAACTCGTATATCCCATAAGGCGCCACTTCGTCACTATTAAGAGGGTAACTAATAGAAAATGTCAAAAACTTTAAAACCAAGGTACGTTTTGAAACAGTACATACATGAACCTAGTTTTGGCAGGCCCTATTGACTAAGAAGGTTTCTACCCCTACATGTTTCTGAAATGACCCGAAACTTTATGCGAAGAAAGGAAGAAGTCCAAAGCAATGACATCATGGAAAATGGAGACAAATTATAGCAGACCTACTCTCCACCGAGGAATTAAAATTTGGCAAATGGACAACTATGATATGAGAAGCATATAATTGCAAAGGGTTCCGGACACCCAAATAATTTAGATCACATACTTACTGAATTGCACAGAATAACTTAGCACATATAAAAGCATGTTATTACTCCCCTAGTTTGTTCATTCCATTCTCCCATTGGACGATATCTTTTATTTATTAGCCTATTTCTCTGACTCCATCCCTTTTGAGCGTGCTGCTGAACTGCAGCAGCATCACAGAAGTCCTGTAACATAACATCAAACCTGTAGCATTAGATGGACGCATAGTTTTGATTTCATATTGCTTAGACCATGAAACTATATACAAAGTTCACGATTAAATGCAAATACACCAAGCGAGATTACACAGGAACTGAATCTCAGGATCTGATCCAGATAGGAACTTAATTGATAGGTAAGGAATGAAGGGAACTGATACCATAAAAATACATTGGATTTGCAAAGAGAAGTTTAAAATCAAAGAACAATATTGCAGCAAAGTTTAACCTAAGTTCTATCAATTTACAACAAACTGACGATCAAGAGGGAAAGTGAACACATTGGAGTTCAGTTGTGATGAAATTTCAAAAGATATTTATCCCAAGAAATGCAATATGTGTTTCCGTAGAACTGTACGGATAAATCAGCAAAGGACAACCCCAAGAAAGAAGTAAAATTGATTTGGCACATCAAATTTCTTAAGCTGGATCGAGTGAATTTTAGTAAAACAGAACAGTTGATGAAAAGGGCGTGGACATAACAAAAGAGTTTGCATTAAGGAGCTGACATTGTCACTAAATTGCAAGCATAAGAGGGATCTGATCAGCTTCTTGCTGCAGATTGGCCATGTTTCTCTCTGAAGACATCTGCTGGCCTACACTCCTCCAATGGCTCAAGTGACATTGGTTCCAGACCTGCAGAAGATCACCTACTCAACTGAGTACCTTCACATAGACCCTATGAACCCAACATAGGGAGCATGCAATCAAACACGGGAACAGGATAGCAGGTGCAAGCAATCAGACACGGGAACAGAAAGTAAAAATCAAGGGAGCAACTTTGACTAATGAGACATAGTGCTCAAGTTAGGTTAGATATACAGTTTAAAGCAGGCAAAAGCTATAATTTCTAGACAGAACCAGTAAAATAAAGAGACATAGAAAGCGATTACCTGCAAGGGACAGTGTACGGTGTTGCCCGTCATCCTCCCATCTCTCCGTTACCCGTCATCCTCCCTGGCCACTAATGTTGTCTCCCCGTCGGCGCTTGTCATTTCCATAGAAGGGGGCTGAGGAGACCCACCCCAAGCCGACTTATCACTCCTCGGTTGGAAGGATGCAAAGGGAAAATATAGTTACACCTGCAATTCAAAAGAAAAAACCCATTCACTTTTCATCCCCTGTGATGGGTTCATAGAAATATGCAACATCAATGGCTAATATTGATGAGAACTTAATTGAAAATGCATTCTACTCAATTCCCCACATTTGCATCACCCTAGTTATATGACCGTATGCATGTAATGAAACAGAACCATACAACCTCAAGTTCTGAAATAATCAATCCCCAACACCTTTGTTCGTGTGATTTCCAAAGTCTTTGTCATTTAAGAACTCAAAAAATATACAACTCAGCCTACTGGAGATGCAAAACAGTATGCAAGAAGCTTTCAAGTAGTGATATCTCCCGCTAAAATGCATAGGGTTCAGGGGAAAACAACAAAAATGAAAGAAATCCCCATTCTCCCCACGCCCCATAGCATGTTAATGGAGGCTCACCTGAAGGTCCAACCGAGCAAGAGAACCAACTCTACTTGATCTGTAAGGGAAACAAAACATAGGAATCTTAGCATAAAAGGATTTGGAGTCGAGGCTAGTCCGTGCTAAAACCAATAGAGTAAAAAGTATACTGTGTAGCGCGATAGGTGGAACTAATGACCAATTATAAACAAATTATTCAAGACCTCTAAACCATCTACGCAAAGAGAAGAAATCTAAACTAAAAACAAAAGAAATAGAGAGAGGAGATCACCAACACCAAAGCTTTCATGGTAGACTTCTGGAGCTGCTTCCTCCTTCCCAACGATTATAGATATATATACTCATTATTGGGCATTGGACTTCTGCATTTGCTTTCTCCTTCTCCCTCAAGAATGTTCATCATTGACTTGTTATTGCAATCTATGAATCCATCTAAGAAATTCAGCGTCTAAGCAATGACCAAAACCCTAAAAGTAACGAAAAAATGAATAGAATCAAAGGCAGAAACTCACAAGCAAAGCAAGCCGCCGGCTGACAATCCTTCTCCCCAGGCAAGTTCGCCGTCAGCATGTTTTTGTGGCCGATGAATCAACCGAGAAAAGCAGTAAGAGTTTGTGAGGAGAGAAAGACAATGACTGGAAGCTAAATTCGGGAAAACGAAAACCCATATGGCTGAAAACATACAGAACCACTCCACAGAAAGGAGTCATCAAGAACAAAAACAGAACCAAAACCCAAAAAGAACCTTACCCAAAGAGCAGTGGGTAGCCCTCGTCTGCTCTGCTGCCTTTGGAAATCTACATTGGCAGCAGCTCCTCCATTATCCTGGCTAGTATCCGAATTCGAAAAGGCAAAACGAATAAGTCCAATTAGATTAGCAAGAAAGCACTCCATAAAAATCCAAACATGTCAAAACCGAAAAAGGAAATAAATCCACAAAAACAACTTACCACCTTGGTCGCGGTTGACAGCAGTCCCACCGCCGGCGGCATGACATGTTTCTTTTGGCATGAGTGTAGACGAATCACTTCCTTCTTCCTGATCGAAAACCCAGGAACAAAAGATGACAAGAAGTAAGAATTCAAACCAAACAAAAAATTCAAAAAAGGACAATTTGAAAAAAAAAATGGTTGTCACTCGTTGCCGGGACCATCACCGACGTCCATTGCCAACCGTCATCGTCGTTCACGCCTTTCCTTCTCTTCATCGATCCAAAAGGGCGTTCTAACCAAGGAAGAGAACAAAGAAAAACAGAAAAATAAACGAACAGATTCGGAGAAATAAGATCGGCGGCGTTAAGAACACTAAAAACATAATAAAACTCACGATCTAGCCAACCAGGCGTCGAATGACTCTCCTTCCTTGGCAAGTTTGCCGCTTCATCGGCGATTTCGGAGATTTGAGATCGCAGAGTGAGAAAGAGACAACGTCGGAGAGAAGAGAGAAGGAGAGCACAAGTGAGGTTGGGTGGGGGTTCCTTCTTTTCCTGGTTCTTCTGCTTCCTGCGTCTTCTTCTTCTTCATATTCTTCCTTTTTGGTTTTTTTTGTTCTTGTACAGAGAGAGGGACTGAGGGAGGAAGAAACAAGTGGGTTGTTGGTTTCTGTAGAAGGAAGAGAAAGAGAGAAGAAAAGTTGTGTGGCTAGGAAGAGGGATGGGAGGGAAAAGCCAAAAAAAAAAAGGCAGCGGAACGACGGCTAAAAGCAGAAAATCAATCTCCATCAAAGGGTCAAAAAAGCAAACCAAGTCACAGTGTTTGGATGTGACTCTAAGGAACAGTGCAGCAAAACTTGTTCTTTTAATAGAAGAATATTTCTGAATCTCAAGTCGATAGTGGTCTTGAAGGAAACCGAGTTGAATTATATTCGATCTCATTCTAATTTGATTCAAGTATTGATTTCGATCTAAAATCATTGTGTTTTAACACTTAAAGAGCATCTCCATCAATGCAATTGTAAAAGAAATTGCATTTGTGTTTTTTATTGTCAATCCAAATTTTTTGCAATCCACATCACATTCATTTCATTCACCTACATCAATGCAATTAACTTGCAATTGCAAATATAATTAAATATTATGTTTAAATTATAGAAAATTAAGTAAAAGAGAAAAGAAAATAATATAAAATACAAAATCCCCATTTTTTTAGACTTTTTTGACTTGCATATGGAATTGCATTTGTTGCAAGCTTGCAAATATGCAATTGGTAGCCATATCAATGCAATTGGTTTTGCAATTGCAAACACCTATACCATGTCATTTTTCAATTGAGAATGCAATACCAATGTGGATGCTCTTACTGATATTTGAAAAAACCTGCAATTTGAAGGATTTTTTTCCCTAAGTAATAATTAAAAAATTTCCTACAATACATAACTTTTTATAAAATTTTCCAAAATACCAAAGTTTGGTACAAATCGAGTTCGATAAACTCGAACTAGAACCAGATCGATTGCCAGACCATCGATCCACGAGCATCGAGTGAAAGGGCCATGATTGGCTGGAACATGACGAAGCAGATTGAGTTTTGAAAACTCGATCTAAGTAGATCGATGAGAGATGGCTCGATCAGTGTGACGCAGATCGATGACATAGGAAGCGTTCCACCCTAGATCGTGCCTTCGGAAATCGATATGGTCCGTTCGATGGCCAATGCCGCGAAGTAGTAATGACGCGGATCGAGTGGGTGGAACTCGATCTACACGACGCGGATCGATGGCGTCAGACACGCTTCTACGTTGATCGAGTATTCAAAACGCGATCTGGGTCGTTCAATTTCCCTTCCCTAGAGCAGCCGTTGACGCGGATCTACGTCACAAAATTCGATCCACTTCCTCCCACGGAACCTATAAATTCCCCACCCTCCATTCGACCAAAACTTACACCACACAATTCTTCTTCCTCTCACCACTCTTGAAGAAAAAAATATGCTCTGTGGTTGCGGCTAAGCCTGATCTTCCGCATCAATTTTTTTTCTTTTGTTTGGTACTTCTATCACTCAAAATTGCCAAAATGGACCCGAGTATTTACGATCTTAGATTATACATTCGAGGCGGACCGCGAGAAACCGATTTGATGGATGAGCAACCTTACCATCAGTCTGAAAGTGTTTGGGCGGCAGACTCGGTAAGCATTTCCTCATGTACTTTTCTTTTTTTTTTTTAAATGCGAAAGTATTCTTATAATTTTTTCATATAATAATTAAGGTTTTTTTACAGGAACAACTTAATGTAATCACCCATCGGTCGCTATCTCGCTTGCATGCATGGGATGTTCGGATCAAGCCCTTCATTGAAAGAGCGCGATTGCTGAGGGTGCGAAACTTTGTGCGGATGGAGATGGACAAAAACCTTCTTAGGGCAATGGGGGAAAGATGGAGAAAAGAAACGCACACATTCCACCTTCTGGAGGGAGAGATGACGATTACGTTGAAGGACGTGGTCATGCTGACAGAGCTTCCAATCAATGGTGATGCCATAATAGAGAGTTCACAGAAACCATTGAATGGTTGGGGTCAATTTATAAGCGAGCGTTTAGGCATCAACATCTCCGAGGAAGCACCACAAGGTCTTCGTATACCACCTCTACACAAGTCTATGCTATCGATCCCTTGGCTAGTGAGGGCCGCAGGAGAGTTACTGGAGGATGCCATGGATGCTCAGATAGAGAGGTATGCTCGCATCTACCTGATTTGTTTGTTTGGAGGATTTTTGTTTCCGAACAAGATTGATGGAAATATATGTGGCTCCGAGTTTTTTTGGAAGATTGGGACGAGATTGGGAGAAAAGGTTGAGGATCTGCTTGTTTGGCGATGATATATGTGGAGCTGTGCAAGTGTACGGACTCGAAAACAAAGCAAGTGGGTGGTGCCATGTTCATCCTCCAACTATGGGTTTGGGAGCACCTTCCTACTTTCGCTCCAACCTGTCCTGCCAACAGTTGGGGTCCCGAAGAGCCACTAAATCAAGCGGCTTATGGTGCTAGATGGATTGCAGCTATTACGAGAATCTCCTCTCTAGACGGGTATCGCCAACATCTTGAGCGTATAGAGTTCAACGAGGTAACATTCTAGCTTACGAACATGAATTTATTTTTATGAATATGAATGCTAATTTATTTGTTGAAATTATTTGTATGGATTTTAATTTATTTGTCGAAACTTAGGTAGAGTGGGATCCATATCCGAACGGATAAAAGGAGTTGTACGAGTTGCAATACACTGAGGATCGTCGACTCTGGTCGTGCAAGTTGCCTGTGATTTGCCACAACATTGTCAAGTGGCACCTCCCGAATAGATGTGTCCAGCAATATAATTGTGCATAGCCGATTCCTCTCCCACCACCCGACGTACATAAGTCACTCCACAAGTACAATGAGGATCTGCGGGGTACAGTCAATGATTGGCCAACCAAGCACCATAGATGGATTGGTATGTGGGAGTCTCGCCATACGTTTGCAATTGATGGGATCCCAATGACGAGGCCAATGGGGTACCATGATGAATACATGGTTTGGTACCGCAAGTTCTCAAAAAGATGGATAACCAAACGTGGTGCCGTGATCGGTTCGTTGGAAGCACAACATCTATTTTCTATATTTACTTTAGCTACACAAAGAATGTTTGACTAACGTGTTTATTATTTAGATTGATGGGTTGGAACTTGCATCAATGACTATGGAGAGTGAACCAGAACAAAATTTGGAACCTGAGAAATTTTCATTCTTGAAGAAGCTCTTCAAGAATCTCCTGCCATGTTCACGGGAAATTCGAAGGGATGTCATTGTATATTCACCTGCATCTACACCGCCACGTCGCCTCTGATGGGCCATGTCTACTTTTCTCCTCCAGCCGCTGCAACCCCACGTCCACTGCCATGAAATACTGGAATTGGATATAGAGTTCGTTTAAGGAATAGAAGTCGAAGAGAGGGACGCAGACGTGGTGCACAAGAGTGAGCAGTGTGATTTCTAGAGTTGTGATATTATCGAGTTGCTATTTTCTAGATATTTCTGTATGTTCGGGTTGTTCTATTTTATAGAGATGTTAAGTTGTTCTAATTCTATAGAGTTTGTTCATATGTTCGAGTTGTTCTATTGTCAGTTACATTAGTTTCCTTAATATCTAGATCTCAAATTACAATATAAAGTCCTCAAATTACAGGGATTTTTCCAGAAATAGCATCATTCAAAAAAAAAATGTCACCCATCCCACACCAATTCCAAAACTAGCATCTTTTTTTAAAAACTACACCTTGGTCGTGCGGTTTACATGTAAACCGCATCCTGAGGGAGCGGTTTGAGTTTCTGTGACAAAACAACATCTTGGCCATGCGGTTATTATTCTGACCTAACAGAACCGCATCTTGGCCAGGCGGTTCTTTGGATGACCTAGCAGAACCGCTTGTTGAGGCTGCAGTTCTATTTCTCCAACACAAACCGCATCCTCAAGGGGCGGTTTTGCCATTGCCGATACACAAACCGCCCCTTGCGGTTTGTGTGTCGTCCCCATTTTCCCTTAGACTAAATAAAGTCACCTTATGCCATTTTTTTCCTTTTCGACCATGGTTTCATGTCATCCATAATCTTCGCTTGGTAGCATTCAAAGAACCATGTAACCGTATGAAAGAAGGTATGCAAGAGTATAGATGATATAGGCATTGCACGAAGACCAACGTACAAACCAATGAGGCACTCACCCATGTCCGTTGTTATTATGCCATACCTATACCCTTTGTCTTGATGTAACATCCACCTCTCAAAAGGATGGGTTTATAGCCAATCTGCACCATCAGGGTGGACCTCCCTTATTTTCTTCATTTTGTCTACAAACTTTCGAGTCTGAAAAGCAATAGCTACAATAAAGAAAAATAGGGTTAGTAAAGGAGCAGAAGCATTCAACCAATTGAGTAAATGAAACATCTTATTTGTTCTTACCAGCGTGCCAAACTGCACGTTGTCCAATAGTGCGACCAAAGTGCTTCCCATAATTGCTTTTGAAATGTCGTATGCACTAGCACCACTTCCACCCTAGCTCCTTGGGCAAGTCGTACATTGCATGTGCAATTCCATGGTGTCGATCAGAAAGTATGGCAATGTCCTTCTGTTGAGCGACACAAGTGTATAGTTGGGAATAAAACCATGCCCAACTTAAGTTGTTCTCCGAATCAACTATAGCAAAAGCAAGTAGGAGAAGTTGCATACTTCCATCAACACTAGTGGCAACGAGTAGAATGCCCCTATATTTGTCGGTTAGAAAGGTGTTTTCAACTTGGATTCTTGGCAGACCATGGGTGAAACCATCAATGCATGTTTTGAATGCCCAAAATAGTCGATTAAACACGTGTTTAGCACCCCCTCCAAAATCTTCGTAACTAGGCACAAAAACAGACCCAGGATTATTTTCCACCATTGCAAGAATCAAACTAGGAAGGTTAGCAAATGACTCTTTTCAATCCATGCTTTCTTGTAACTGATGGTATAGCCATGTCGATTCTTCACTTCAGCGATGACACTCTTCACGGTGATCCCAGGTTGTGCCTCAATCAGATGTTTGATTGTTTGTGCAACCTTCCTTGTACTCAATTGTCGGTGATCTAGAGAAATTAGTGATGACCTACAAGTG